CTAATCGCAACAAACCTGACTTGATCTTCTTTACATAATATTTCATAATAAGTGGTGTGTGAATGACTGGACAAAATTTCCCTGGAAGGACACGACCGGTTTCGTGGTTCTTGCCGCTCATGAGGCATACATATCTAGTAATCTATTTGCTAATTCATTCATATACTTGTACCCAGGAAGCGCATTTTCGTCACAATTACCTTGTTTGTAACACCGGGTGACAAAAGAAAAGAACCGCCAAACCACTCGTGTGCTTCCAGGGAGACTTTGCCTAATCATTCGCATACTACTTAATATGAAATATTATGTATATACGATCAAGTCAAATATCGAACCATTGCTTGGATGTTTTGGGCTGAATGGTCATTCAATACGGTAAATAGTTGCTTATATGCAAGTATGGTAGCTGTTAACTGCTAAGTACAGTGACTTGAGGTTTAGTTTCATTGTGCAAAAATGGACTTCTCAGGTGGGCCGATCAACGATGCAGATTGGGATTAGTGTCAGAATCGTAGTTCCATAGCCTGCTCTCTTCCATGGATGAATTGTAGTTATAATGCATAATAAGACGTACATAAAACCATTTATTCTAATGAAGCTCGTCTAAATGGTTTGAGGCACGTCGTACTGCAAAGGTGACCGGGACGGCTACCACATCTACAACGCGTTATCGAAGTTAGCTACTTATGAGTAGGCACATCAATTTCGCACCGGATTCGAAATCATCGCGTGATTTTATCACTAATGCCGTGATTCCCTTCCCATAAATATACTGACAGTTGTTTCTATCTGTTACTGACATGAGAGCCGGAGCAAAAATTCAAATATTTTCACGTAAGTGGTATATTAGATATTCCGATTATCCATTAACTCATGAAACAGATGGAAAACGCTTTTGGTTCAATGCACTGTGTAAATCCCTGAAGTCGTTGGGATTTTAGACAGCGGATACATGTAGTTTAGACTGCTGCAGAACCGGCGTTTGCATCAAGTGTTTTAAAAGGAACTGAAAATTTTTGCCAGTCTCAAGTTCACACCTTGTTCTTGAAGTGATTTGACCGATGGGCAACTTTCGCGCATATTGGAATCTATTAACCGTGTTCAAGATTTATTTTCTGGTATTTTAGTCATCCGCTTTTTAGAATGCCACATTTTTTATAGTACATGTTTCTATTGCAGCTCAATGTTTGTGGTATTCAGAAGATGCATGTGTATGGTTCTTCACATTAGCATACACAGGGTTTAACTAGCACAATAACATGCGCGAGCTATTCTGAGAAATAAGTGCTAGAATGTTTTGTTTGGGTTAGCTCGTTCAGCAGTGGGCACTGTGTATCATCTTCTTGTTTCTTGTATGGATTTCATCGCTTGATAGTGAGAGAGAGCTAATTTTATAACCACATATATATTCAAGATATTTTTTATTTGCACGTGTGTTCGTAAATTGAAATAGAACCGGCAAATTAGATGTAGATTCACATATTGATTGATTCATCACAATGATTAGTCAGAGGCAATATATATCCTCGTGGTCACGTGGATGCACAAGCGCGCATGCACACAAAAGCACATAAACAGACACAATTAAATCAAGCATAAACCTATCGGGAGTTCGTCGGTACTATTCAATGGAAGATGTACAGCGAAATTAGTGATACACATTTTCTTTCGACCGCTGCAAATATATATATATATATATATATGTATGTATTAGTGTTTTGTGGGAATTGAATGGAAAAAAAATATCTCAGAATGTTCAGTGAAATTGCTTTGACATTGAGTGAAATATAGGTGTAAGAGAAAAAACGAGAGCGAGGAGAAAAACACAAATAAAGCAAAGGAACAGAGCTGTGCTTGTTGTGTTCACGCTTAGTTCGGTCTGCAAAAATGCTTTATTTCCTTGGGGCGGAAATTCCGGAGGTTGTGAATGCTGGTGGTTTGTCCGTTCGACCTTCCAGTCCACGCCCTTTCCCAGTGACCGCATCGAATCGTTCCTTATGCGATCCGGTGAAGCTTTTCACGTCCGTCAATCGTGATGTGGTCGCGTCCGAGCTCACTTTCTGCAAAGCGGGGCATATTGAGAATGGGAGCATAAGGGTGGGAATGAGAGAGTGAGGTAAAACTGAGGTTGAGTATAAACCTAACGTAACTGAAATCGAATGAAGTAGTTCGGGTAATCCTAGCCTACGAGATGACGCATACCACGG